TCCTTCTCCGCTAGGCCGGGCGGGGCGGGGGTCTCGGGTGGAGCCCCGCTCCCCAGCAGCGCTCTGGAGAGGTGTGATGCGTTCCCGCTGCCCCCCCGCCCGCCGGGATACCCGCACTTTCCTATCTCAGACAATGCATTTCCATTCCAGTCGTGTGCCTTTGTCCATTTGTAGGAAGGAAAGAGGGCTGAGTGACAGCTCCTGTTAGCCTGCATGAACAGATACCAATAAACCCTCCCAAAACCTGGACCTTAAAAAATAAATAAATAAATAAAGAGGAAAGAGCAAGGCAGGGAGCCACATGCCTCTTTGCCTCCGGCTTATTATTAAGACACCTTCGCAGCTTAAACGCTTAAACGGGACCCAAATTAAATGGCAATTAAAAGCAAGTTACACCCTCTCCTATCTCCAGGCTTATCTCGGGTGGAAGCTAGCCATCAGCAGAGCCTCCCCGTCGGGAAATGCCATTTGGGCTGGCATCTTCGCGGAGGGTGTGCGAGTTCCCCCCCCGCCACCCCGAGCTCGCCCCCCCGGGCGCTCCCCGGGCGGAGCCCGCAGCCACTGCGGGGCTGCGGAGCCGCTACCCGGGGGCAGAGGAGCAGGGGGCGCCGGGCAGGCACGCAGGACTCATTCCCCGAGTGGCAGCTCCTCGGACCGGTGTCACTAAATAAATAAATCACGTACCCCTTCAGCTTTGCAAGCCGGGGCTACGCAGCCTCCTTGAGTTCCCATCGCCAAAATATATCGGCACTTGGAAATGTCGAACCAGCTATCAGTGGTCTTTAGCTCTTACGTCCCCTTCCCTATTTTTCTTTCGTCTGTTACAGATGTAATTCCGTAGATCTATATGTATTTTATGTATAATACCATAATATCATATGTCACTGCAGTGATACTTTGTGCTCTCACCCTAGTTTTATGTTTGAAATGCTATTTAAAGAAGACTGTAAGTTAACATATTAGGCAGCTTTAAAAGCAGGTTGGAGTGTGGGGTGGACTTAAATTCGATGTAAATGAAAGGGTAAAAAAAAAAAAAAAATGCAAACCCAAACCAAAACAAACCACATAGTTTTCATTTAGGAAAAAAAAATACACTTAAACAGACACACATACAAATGTGCAATCTTAGATTCTGGTCAGTATTTAGAAGCAGTATAATCAACAGGAAGGATCACTTACCTATTGAAAAGGATGGTTTAATAATATATATTTGTATATATTAGCTTTATATCTTCCCAATAAAATGTACACAAAATACCCCCTTCGATCAGATTAGTTCCCATATTAGCCTGGGTAAGAAAAAGCATTCTAAAGAGTGGAGGAAAAATTGTATAAAAATGTTGAAAGAACCTACAGTTCCTTATTAGGCGAAGATACAATATTTATTCCTTGTCTCCTGGGATGAAGCTCCTCTATCTATTGTCCTCCCAGTTCTCAGTGCTGATGCTTAATTTTCAAAACTTCTATATTACCAAGGGACCTACGACATCAGCCAAAGAAATACCCAGCAAGTACAAAATCTGATCCAGGGAGCAGCTTTTGTGCAGAGGGAAAATTTTGTTCCTACAGGTTTTTAAGGAGGTGCATGGAAAAGCGAGAGATCTGATCTATGCAGATACATTGCAAATTCTCTCTGTCTGTAGAGATTTTTTCTAAAAAAAATTGGGGAAATACATGAACTTTGGATTTTTCAATTTTTTCCTTTTTTTTTTTTTTTTTTTTT